CAGAGTCCTCCCCCCGGGCTGCCCCAGAGCCCGTCGCCCTCACCAGCCCCCCTATAGCCCCCCCAGGGCTGCCCCAGAGCCCGTCGCCCTTGCCAGCTGCCCACGCTGCCCTTTGGAGAGCCGGCTGCAGCTCTGCTCCGCTCCTGCCTGGTGGGCCACCCCCTATAGCCCCCCCAGGGCTGCCCCAGAGCCCGTCGCCCTTGCCAGCTGCCCACGCTGCCCTTTGGAGAGCCGGCTGCAGCTCTGCTCCGCTCCTGCCTGGTGGCCCACTGCTGGCTGGGACCTAGCTCTGCCTTTTCCCTCCTGCCAAGTTGTGCGTAGAGCTGTCCTGTGAGACTGGCTCCCGTGCTGGGCATTGCTGCGGGAGGCCACTGGGAACATGTTGCCAGTGGATGCAAAACCTGGGTTGCAGCGCTGGGTTCTGTGCGGCTGTAGCCTGCTACATGTCGCATCAGAGAAACTGACAGGGACTTGCTGGAGTTAGCAGAATTATTGCATGAATTTAGCAAAATTACTCCCTTGGCAGTGCGATTGTCCCACAGTAAAAGCCTCTCCTGTCATGCCCAGACGATGCTGCACTCGCAGGAGAAGTTCTATAGCATGGCCGCACAGATCAAGCTGCTGCTTGAGATTCCAGAGAAGATCTGGAGTGCCATGGAGGCCTCTCAGTACTTACACGCCACACAGCTGTACCTGCTTTGCTGCCATCTCCACAGTCTCCTGCAGCTGGATGCCTCCAGCTCCCGTTACAGTCCCATCCTCGCACGCTTCCCCATCCTAGTTCGACAAGTGGCGGCAGCCAGCCACTTCAGGTAAGCAGCCAGATGGTGTTTGCAGCTCTAATTTGTCTGTCAGGGCACTTTACTGCCTTACTATTGTACTGACAAACTTGAAGGTCCCTTACAAACATTCAATTATCCCTCCTATTCTGTCTCTCCTAGGGGAAATGGGGATTATTGTTCCACGTGCACACAGGATGTGAGACACAGAGGTGAAGCAGCTTACCCAACATCCCAGAAAGGGCCACTGGCAGAATTGACAATAGAACCCAGGTGTCTCGACTCCCAGGACTCTGTTCTCCTGTCTCATAGAAAGGGGAAATCTAGAACAGAGCCCTGGGAGTCAAAAGTCCCATGTTCAGCCCTGGACTTAACAGGAAGGAAGAAGGGGAAGGAAAAAAAAAAGTCCTGCCCCTTCCGCCTTTTTCCCCCCCTCCCCTGCTTTTTTCCTATTTAGTCAAGGACTGAACGTGGCCCCCTCTATGCTTGTCAGGCATCACTCTTGAATGGATCAGAAGGGATGCTTAAAGTGAGATCTTGCCTTCCCATTACCAGACAAGTGTTTCCATCCCCTAAGCCGCTCAAGATATCAACATGAACCTTTTGTAAGTGGGACAGTCCATTCCAATTGGATGGCTGAATTGGCTTGGACACCTTTGCCCGTTTCCCAGTGGAGAATCATTACTGTCATAACATAAGAACATCAGAACGGCCGTACTGGGTCAGACCAAAGGTCCATCTAGCCCAGGAGCCTGTCTGCCGACAGTGGCCAGCACTAGGTGCCCCAGAGGGGGTGGACCGAAGACAATGATCAAGCGATTTGTCTCCTGCCATCCCTCTCCAGCCTCTGACAGACAGAGGCCAGGGACACCATTTTATCCCCTGGCTAACAGCCTTTTATGGGCCTAACCTCCATGAAATTATCTAGCTTCTCTTTAAACTCTATTATAGTCCTAGCCTTCACAGCCTCCTCTGGCAAGGAGTTCCACAGGTTGACTACACGCTGTGTGAAGAAGAACTTTCTGTTATTAGTTTTAAACCTGCTACCCATTAATTTCATTCGGTATCTTCATTTGCGGACCTTTCAAAGACACAAAGTGCTGTGTAGTCGAGTGAGAACGTACTGGAGTACGTGTTAGCTGGCAGGATCATGGCATGTAAACCACCTTTAAGATTGCACTTTACAGTTACTGGGCTAGGAAGGATTGGTGAGCTCAGCCTCCAGGACTGAGCCATATAGTCAGCTGCCTTGGGTGCCTTATAGGTGATTCTTGTTGATTATCCCCATGGATGCAGAAACGGCTTCCCCTTTTGTTCTATGTAGTCTCTTGCACAGCTGCAGCCACCTCCTACTTTCATCCTGTGGGCTATGCATCAGGCAGCAGCTCTGGAGCAAAGGGAGCCCAGCTGGCCGTGCAGTGGGGAGGAGGAGATGAAGGGGGAGAGGGAAGGGTGTGTGGTGAGTGGCCAGAGGAGGAGGACAGTGGAGAAGAGCAATTGGGGGAAGGGGTCTGGTGGTCAGCAATTAGAAAGTTGACAACCCTGTTCCACACGTGGTGACTGTGTCTGCCTGGTTTCCTCATTAGATCCACCATACTGCACGAAAGCAAATCACTGCTAAAATGCCAGGCTGTTTCTGACCAAGCAGTGGCAGAGGCCTTATGCTCAATCATGCTTTTGGAGGACAGCTCTCCGCGCCAAGCCCTGGCAGACTTCCTGCTGGCCAGGAAATCAGCTGTTCAGCAGCTTCTCAACCAACCGCATCACGGTCAGTACAACTGGCTTCTCTCCGGAACTGATGTTAAAGGGAGCTCCAGTGTTTGTTTCTCTTCTCAAGAAACGGGCAGGAACTGAGCGGAACGGGATTTGTCCTATCTGGAGCCACTGTGGGAATGTCATTGCTTTGAATCAGGGCAAACAGACAGCTCATTATTTCTCTTGTCCTTTAAAACAGTAGTGGCCAAAGATAGCTGGGACCAGGAGGCTGCTTTAGCACAAGAAGGGGGTGACTGGCTCAGAGCGACTTCTGTAGCTAATTGACCTGTCACAATAACTGCTCGGGCTGCATGTATGAGTTGTTTATATTAGGCCAGTGGTCACCAACCAATAGATCGGGATCTACTGGTAGATCTTGAAGCCTCTGACAGGTGCTCCTGACTGGTTTGGCTAGGAGGCTATCAAGTGCTGGCACTTCAGCCGCCCCTCCCAGCACTGCCCCACTGATCTTACCCAGAGCCTCAGAGCTTCCCCTGGGAACCTCCTGCTTGTTGTGCAGGGTGGGGGAGACAGAGGCAGGGGGGCACTGATGTCTCTGTCCCCCTCTGTTGTACCCCATCTTCACAGATTGAGGAGGGCAGGGCCTCAGCAAAGGGGGGGGGCAGGAGGACTTGGATTTGAGGTAGTTCTTGGACTGACAAATTCAAAAAGTGATCTTGTGCTTAAAAAGGTTGGAGACCACTGTGTTAGGCCCTTCTCTAGTAACGGTGGGAGCAGGTAAGTGCAGATCTATCTTCACTGCAAAGGTTTCACTGTACCTACACATTAAGAGGAGATGTTTTCTTTTTTAGGTGCTGGCATAAAAGCCCACGTGTGTTCGCTGATGGAGTTACTAACCACAACCCTGTACCAAGCTCATGCCCTCTTTTACACCCTGCCTGAAGGGATGCTCTCAGATCCCTCCCTGCCCTGCAGCTTGCTCTTTTCAATGCTGGAGACCACGACAAGCCAGGACCCAGCAGGTGAGCCGCTTGCTCAGGCAGTGAGGTTTGGGATTGGCTTCTCTGTCTAATGGCCTTCTGTGCATGCTTATGCAACCAGGGCTTGGGCAAGGCCATGGTGAACCCACCCCGCTCATGTGGCACCATTCTTCTAGGCAAAGGCATCCACGTTTTGAAAGAGGAGATGAAGCTGAGCAGCTGGTTCAAATCTCTACCACCGTCCATTGTAGAGTTCCAGCCAACCCTCAGAACCTTGGCACATCCAATCAGCCAGGACTACCTGAGAGACACTCTCCAGAAGTGGATTAACATGTGAGTGTATAGAGGGAGATTTTTCTAAGGGATGGGTTAGGACAGTGCTCATTCTATCACTGCATTTCTCCTACAGTGAAAGAGGAGTACGGCTCCATCAGACACCACTAGATCTGTCTGACAGAATTAAGTGCTCCTGCAGCACTCCTGGGCTGGGAGCTGTAAAATGAAGCCATGGCTGCTCCCATGGGATTCTCATCTGCCTGTCAGGACACCTTTGTCCGCCACAGAAATGCTGAGATTGAGGATGATACAGACAAAAAGCTCTTTTGAAAGCCAGCTTGCTCAATATGCTGTAAGACAGCAAATTATGCACAGATCTCTTCCCTGCAACACTGAGAATAGTAATAGAGATGTATCCATGTTAGTCTAGTCTAGCTGAAACAAAAAACAGGACTTCTGAGGATCTGAGGAAGTGGGCCTGGCCCACGAAAGCTCATCACCTAATAAACCATCTTGTTAGTCTTTAAAGTGCTACATAGTCCTGTTTTTTGTTTCTGCAACATTGAGTGATCTGTGTCTAGGGTTCCTACAGTATTACAGAATAGAAAGTCCAGCAAACTCTTATTCACATTGCAAAATGCGCCTCGGTCGGTACCTGTAATCTTTAGTTTTTCTTTCCTGAGGTTGGTCTCAGTCCAGCATCTCTCTTCTTATTGCTGTCCTGCTGTGCCTTGTGAGACAGAGCTTACCTTATAAAGGGCCCAGGCTCCTCCCCTTTCCCAGCATGCCTTGCCAAGAGGAGAGTGACAGTCAGGCCTCTCTGTAGAGAACCTGATGTGCTGCTAGTAGTTCCTGGGGATGACTCAGCATGCGGGTTAATGAGGCTAGGGATGCAAGTAGCTGGATCACTGTGCGGGAATAGGTAACTTCCTAGATCATTTTCAGCTCTGCCAGAGGTCTCCTTGCTACACCCTTTCACTGAACAACAAGAATCCCTTTGTAGTCCAGCCTATCACAGTAAAGGTTCTTGGCTGGATTTTCTGGAGCTGTGAGGGGGTATGGGATTGAAGTGCATGTTACTTTCAGGTGTAGTGAAGATATCAAATCTGGACTCATCACTCTGCTGGTCTACGTGAAGAGCCTGAAAGGCCTGGCTGGCATCCGTGACGCTGTGTGGGAGCTGCTCACCAGTGAGTCCATGAGGCAGAATTGGGACACGGTGTGTCGTCGACTCTTGGACAAGTCCATCTCTTTCTGGGAGGACTTGCTGCGGCAGCTTTTCTTGGACAGATTACAGGTGAGATGCGGTCAGGGAATCAGCCAGGCTGACATGGGCTGCTTGAAATTAGTGTTTAAGTGCTGTCGCCTTTCACAGCCTGGCAGCAGTGTTCTCTAATTTTTTCCATCCGTGGGCAGAATAAATTTTGCTATATGCACCAAGGTATGTGTGGATGTGCACCAGCAGTAGAAACACATGCTGCCAGCTGTGGATGCTTTACTGATTAGCTGGGTGGCATTGAATTGCTCCTGGGTGGCCGCCCAAGCGCACAGCTGACAGGGAACGCTGCCTGGTAGTCTCAGCAGAGAACAGATTGTATGAGTGGGCAGGAGGAACCCACATTAGCGGGCTAGGGGGAGGCTGGTGATGCACGGGCAGGTTTACCCAGCTGCTCCCTTTGCTGTACAGTCTGTGGAGAGGGGCCTTTATTCTCCAGGGCTGTCCCCAGTACCTTTTGGCACCCTGAAAATGGGTGCTGTGACAGCCACCAAGACTTGAGAGAGCCCAGTTCTCTTTTCCAGACCCTGACAAAGGAAGGATTTGACTCCATCTCCAGCAGCTCGAAGCAGCTTCTCATTTTAGCGCTCCAGGAGCTTGAAGCCAAGTCCAGCACCTCTGCCCCCAGCAAGCACACCCAGTTTGAACACAACATGGCTTTGTTTCTGTGGTCAGAGAGCCCCGGCGACCTGCCTCCTGATGCGGCCTGGGTCAGCGTGGCAAACCGCAGCCCGTTTGCAAAGAGTGGCCTATCCATGAAGGCCCAGGCTCTCACGCCCTGTGTGCAGAGCTTCTGTTCTGCCTTGGATGCCAAACTGAAGGCGAAACTGGACGACCTTCTGTTCTACCTTCCCGCTGACTCTTCCACGCCCAAGGAGACACGGGGCGTGCAGGCCAGGAACTCTGCTTTTGATAGATACGCCGATGCTGGCACCGTAGAAGAGCTGCTCCGGGATCACTGTGTTGCCTGCATCCAGTACGTCTTGGGCTGTGCTAGAGAAGAGCTGCAGAGAAACTGAAGGCGAAACTGGACGACCTTCTGTTCTACCTTCCCGCTGACTCTTCCACGCCCAAGGAGACACGGGGCGTGCAGGCCAGGAACTCTGCTTTTGATAGATACGCCGATGCTGGCACCGTAGAAGAGCTGCTCCGGGATCACTGTGTTGCCTGCATCCAGTACGTCTTGGGCTGTGCTAGAGAAGAGCTGCAGAGCGCTCTTCATGGCAAGACTGTGTCAATCGCTAGGCGAACTGTGTCCTCACCTGAAGCAGTGCATTCTGGGTAAATCGGGCAGCACAGAGAATGGAATGAGGGAGACCCGGTCTTCTAAAAAGCTGGGGAAAGGGAAAGCCCAGGAGGTGAATCCCATGCAGGCCAAGTGGCAGGAAGTGAAAGAACAACTCCTGCAACAGAGCCTGTTTGCCTATCAGATTTGGAGCTCCGCTGTTATAACAGTAAGTAGCAGGTTTCTTTTTCTGTTTAGGCTTCTTTCACAGCTGCCCACAGCCACTATTACGCTTGTAGCTTACTAGTTCAGCACAGACTTTTCATTCGTTAGAACACTGCTGCTACAAGAGTTACGGTACCTGCTTAAACAACAAATGGTCCTGCAGCACTTTAGAGACCTACAAACATTGTATCATGAGCTTTCGTGGGCACAACCCACTTCAGATGAATAGAGCAAGGGGTCTGGAGTTACAAGTAA